GAGCGTTCGTCCGTCGTCCAGCACCGTCGTCTCGCAGACCCCCTTTGGCAGGTTCAGTGCGGCCCTCGGAAGGGAATAGGATGAGGTCCCTTCGCATCCCTCTCTTAGGAGCCAAGCCTGCTTATCGAGTCGGGTGGCTCCGGCTGACAACGTTGCGGATCCTGACTGCGCGCCCAGTTTGCAGTATAGTTTTTGGCACGCCTGGCGGCCCCCGTTTCCCGAGGCCTTGCCCTTTTGCATCATGGGTTGCCTCTCTTTTTTGTCGTGCTTGTTCCCGCGGCGCACACTTGCGGCGTTAACAGGCACCGTCTTGGCGCTTTCTACACTAGAGGAGACCGTGCTAACGCAGTTTTGGCGTTCATGGTTGCGTGAGCTTCGCGGTTCGGTTTTGTGTTTGTTGTCGTGCGCGCGTGCTCGGTTCTTGTGTGTTGCGCGCGTGGCGCGCGCGTCAGGCACCCCTGTTGCCGCGCCCCGATCGGGGCTTTGAGGTTCAGGGGGAAGGAGTAGTGGCGCAGGTGCGCCGCTGTTCGGCGGCACTGTCAAGGCGACCCGCGTGGCAGTGCCTCTCTTTACCTTCCCCTAGCCTACCCAGGCCGCGGGGCCTCCTGTCTGGCCATGGCGTGCACGGGCCCCTTGCCACCAGGCCCACGGGGCCGTTGGTGGCACGATGCGAGGCTCTCTCCCCACATTGGTGTTTCGCTTCAGGCTGGCAGCTATGACTGTTGGCGTGCCCTGCACCGCCCTCCGTTGCAAGTGCCCTCTCCAGGCGCAGTCCTGGGTTCAGGAGGACTTGTCGCGGATGTCATATATATATATATATATATATATATATATATATATATATACATATATATATATTATATATATGTATACATATATCGGAGTAGGGCCTAGGGGCGGCCCGGGGCGCTGCCAGTAACCTCCATGGGGGGTGCAGGGCGCCCCCGGGAGCGTCCGAAGCGTCCCGGAGGGCCCCTGGGACCGCCAGGAACAGTTCGAGACCGCCCAAGACGGCCCGCGAGCGCTCCAAGACGCGCATAGATAGCCTCAGGAATGGCCAGGAAGGCCCGAAGACGTTCCAAGAGAGCTCCACGAGGCCCCGAAGGCATCCCAAGAGGCCTCCCAAGAGAGCCCCGACAAGCCCAAATCGTTGATTTTTATTGTTTTTTTTCCGAGGTTTTTGGCCTTCTCGCTTTTTCGGGGTTCCGACGCTCCAAGACCGTCCAAGAGTCTCCCAAAACCGCTCCAAGACGGCCGAAGAGGCCCCCAAAACCGCCCCAAGACGGCCCAAGAGACCCCCAAAATCGTCCCAAGACGGCCCAGGAGAGCCCCAAGATGGCCCAGGAGCCGCCCAAGACGGTTCCAGGAGAGCCCCGACAGGGCTTCAAGACTGCCTAAGCGAGCCCAGCGGTCCCCAAGAGGGCCCCGCGAGGCCCCAAGAGGCCCCAAAGAGGCCCCCAAGAGCCTCCCCGGAGGCCCCCAGAGGCCCCCAAGATGCCCAAAAATGGCCCTGAGCGCGCCCCAAGACGCCTCCAGGAGAGCCCAACAGGCCTCCGAGAGGCCCCCAAGAGGCCCACTGGAGGCCCTCAGGAGGTCGTCCCCATCATGTTCCTGGAAGGCGGTCCGGGAACATGATTCCGCACCTTGGAGGAGTATTCTGCGCCTTCCGAGGCGCCTTGGACGACGTACGTATGTTTCTATAGATTGTCCTTCTCCTGTGTACACAATCCTACATGTTTTACGTATGCTTCCACATATATATGTATACACAGATACACATATGTATATGTATATGTATATGTATGTGTATATGTATATGTATATGCATATGTATATGTATATGTATAGTCAATGTGTGTGTATATGTATATGTATATGTATTTGTACATGTATATACATATGCATATGCATATGCATATGTGTATGTGTATGTGTATGTGTATGTGCATGTGCATGTGCATGTGCATGTGCATGTGCATGTGTATGCGTATGTGTATGTGTATGTGTATGTGTATGTATGTATGTATGTATGTATGTAGGTATGTAGGTATGTAGGTATGTAGGTATGTAGGTATGTAGGTATGTAGGTATGTAGGTATGTAGGTATGTAGGTATGCAGGTATGCATGTATGCATGTATGCATGTATGCATGTATGTATGTATGCATGTATGCATGTATGTATGTATGCATGTATGTATGGATGGATGGATGGATGGATGCATGCATGCATGCATGCATGCATGCATGCATGTATGTATGTATGTATGTATGTATGTATGTGTGTATGTATGTATGTATAGATGTATGTATAGATGTATGTATGTATGTATGTATGTATGTATGTATGTATGTATGTATGTATATGTATGTATGTATGTATGTATGTATGTATGTATGTATGTGTGTATGTGTGTGTGTATGTATGTGTATGTATGTTGTATATATATATATATATATATATATAATGTATATGTAAATTAATGGGGAGGGGGTCCTGGACCAGGGGGGGGCCTCACTTTGCCCAGTGGCTGTGGTCACCCCCCCGCCGGAGACGCCAGGACGCTCCCAGGACCCTCTAAAATGGCTCCAGGACGCCCTCAGGACAGCCCAAGAGAGGTCCGAAGCGGCCCGGGAGCACTCCAAGACGGTTAAAAAGCTGCCAAAGCGTCCCAGCAGGTCTCCGACAGCACTCCCGGGAGGGGCCCAATAGGAAATTGTCACTGATTTTTAGTGGGTTTTGAAGGGTTTTGGCGTTCTCCCCAGTTCGGCTTCCAGACGCTCCAAGGCGGCCCAAGAGGCCCGAAAGATCGCCTCAAGACGAGCCCAGAGGCCCCCAAGAGACCACCGAGACAGCCCAAGAGGGCCCCAAGACGGCCCAGGAAGCTTCCAAGACGGCCCAAAAGAGCTCCCAGAACACTCCAAGAGGAGCCCCAGATGGGGAACACGAACTGACATTTCGAGCCCTCGCCCACCAGAAGCTCCCAAGAGGCCCCCAGGAGTCCGCAAGAGGCCTCGAGAGGCCCCCAGGAAGCTCCAAGAGGCCTCCAAAAGGCGCCGAAAGGGCCCCGCAAGGCTTCCAGACGCTGGTGATAATGACAATGATGATTATGCAGGGCGGCCTCAGGCCCACAACCTAAATCCCCAATACTGCTCACGCGGCATGCAAGACGCTGCGGAGATATCCTCGAGTTCGGCGGGGGAGCTTCGGAGACGACGGTGACGAAAATGATGACGATGATGACGACTATTATGAAGTTGACGACGACGACGACGACGACGATGATGATGATGATGATGATGATGATGATGATGAGGATGATGATGAGGATGATGATGAGGAAGAAGATTATGATGATGTTGTTGACAGTGGGAATGATTATGATGATGCTGATCATGATGATGTTGATGATGGTGATCGTGATGTGAGTGATGGTGGCGATGATGATGGTGGTGATGCTGACGATCATGATGACGATGACGGTGATGCCGTTGAGGATGGTGATGCTGACGATCATGATGATGATGCTGCTGATGGTCAGGATGATAACGCCGATGCTGATAATAATGGTGGCGATGCTGTTTATGGTGCTTGTGATGCAGGAGTGGGCGGATGATGACGATGATGATGACGATAACGATGACGACGATCGCGACGACGACGACGATAATGATGACGATGGCGATTATGAGGATGACTATGTTGATAATTCAGGTGACGATATTGACGATGATGACGACGATGGCGATGATGACGATGGTGATGACGATGTTGCTGCTGATGGTGGTGATGGTGACGATTGTGATGATGGTGATGGTCATGGTGATGATGACGATGCCGCTGACGATGACGCCGGATATGATGGTGATGAGGATGGCGATGATGACGATGACGATTATCCTAGCTAGAACTTGAGCGCGCGCGAAGCGCGCGCGATGGTTCGAGTGTATATATATATATATATACATAACGGCGCACCAGGTCCGGGCGCCCGGGGCCGGCGCCGCTACCACAAATGTGGGCCCTGGAGCCCTCGGGGAGCCCCGGGGCCTCACAGAAGGCCGCCAGAAGGCGCCAAGGACGCGCCCCAATAGGCGACGACGACATTACGACGACGACGACGACGACGACGACGACGACGACGACGACGACGACGACGACGGCACGCCCCAACAGGCTCCCCTAAGACGCCCCCAAACCCATGCTCCCAGAAGGCCTTCTGGGAACCCGATTCATACGGCCTCCGCCCCCCTACACAAACATTTTCCTCGAAGGCCTTTCAGAATGCAGATTGGCATGTGTGGACTGTGGTCCACTACTTCAGTGGAACAATGAATTCGTTAAGGTCTGGGGCCTGCTAGAACTTGAGCGCGCGCGAAGCGCGCGCGATGTTTTTTTTTTTTTTTTTTTTTTTTTTTTTTTTTTTTTTTTTTTTTTTTTTTTTTTTTTTTTTTTTTTTTTTTTTATATATATATATATATATATATATTATATATATATATGAGTCGGCCGGGGGGGGGGCAAAATCGGTGCTGTCCTCCCCCATGGCCGCCCACCCGAACCTTTGGGGAGTGCCCCAGACGCCCCCGCGGAGCCCCAACACAGCCCAAGAGAGACCCAAGAGGGCCCCAGACGGCCCAAAAGGGTCGTGCTGTGGGGCTGACGGAACCCCCCGAGACGGCCCAAGAGGCCCCAAAGCCGGCCCAGGAGGCCCCCAAGACGGCCTCAGGGAGGCCCAAGAGGGCCTCGTTCGAAATCATGTTCCTGGAAGCCTCTCCGGGAACATGATTTCCACCATCCGAGGACGCCCAAGAGGCCCACAAGACAGCCTCAGCGAGGCCCTAGAGGGCCCGAGATGGCTTGAAGATGGCCGAAGAGGGCCCCAAGAGGGCCTTCAAGAGGCAAACATCGGCCCATTCCCTTCGTAAAACGTACATTTTCAGCATACTCCCTTGCTTCGTCTTCACGGTGCCCCAGACGCCCCCGTGGAGCCCCAAGACAGCTCAAGAGAGACCCAAGAGGGCCCAAGACGGCTTTCGTAGCCATTTTGACTCAAGCCAGTGGAGTTAACGTGGAATTTAGCTCGACTATCTTACTCCTGTTCGCTCATGGGTGTGTGTGTGTGTGCTGAAGCGGCTTCAATATTGGAGTATCGTATGTGTGGCTCTCAACCTGTGCGTTGGTCAGACACTGGGGACGACTGAGAATGGGGTTACCTCAAAGACAATAATTGTACTTCACGTGGGTCCTCCCAAGACAGGTTCCACAACAGTTCAAGAAGAGTTACGTAAGCAACAGTCTTCGTTGCGTCTCGACGGCTGGACGGTTGTCAACGCATCGCAGTTCGGCAAAGCCAGACGATTTCAGATCAGCAACGTTGCGGCGTGCTACCGGGGTATAGAGAAAGGCGCACACGCACATGATTATTCAGAAACGTCTTGTACGAAGTGGCATGAGTTTCTTGGGATCCTAACAGTACAACCGAACGAACGTCTAGTGATGTCAAGTGAATCGTTCGCCCATGTATATGGCGACGACATGTCGCAGCTCGCATCCGACTTAGCCCCGTTCACGACGAGAATCGTTATGGTCTACCGGCCCTTTTACGATTGGGTCGCAAGCGTGTATCGACAGATACGTGTCGGGACATCTTTCGAGGCGTGGTTGACCGATGAAATAATGGAATCTAAAGTAAATAGCTTCACGACGAATGTCTACAAACGATACGCGTCCGTTTTTGCTGACATAAAGGTTCACACGTTGGGACCCTCGTTGATGGCAGAGATTGCATGCGATGATCTTGAGGCCACGACGACTTGTGCTTATTTCCAAAGGGCAGCTCTAAAATCATACAATGTTAAAGCCGCGTCCTCAACGCGTGGGCGAGAATGCCTCAGTGCTTACCAGTTGCAAAAATTGCAAAACATCTCATTCGATTTGCACATGGAGGCATTTGGTATGTATTCAAGTTTCCCGAAGTCTGATTTCGAAACCAAGGCATCAGCGTGCTTCGGCAATGAGTAACTGTAACTTCGATGGCAGCGGCTTCTATGGAATCCACACCATGATTTCTGTGATTCCGCTGAGGCTAGTTATAATTTCACCATGACTTGAGGCTGCAGTTTTCCGTCAGAGTACAGTCGTGTCGCGCGTTCCACCAAAGTAGATGCTCGAGTGATTTTTCATGTGCGACGCTGCGGGCGATGGCAGGCGACGCCGTTGCAACAGGCATCGGCAGCTTTAGGACACTAGCAGTCTCTCGCGCGCCTGCACTAACCTAGTGCACGTGTTTGCGAGGGAGGGGCTTCGGACAAGGAGGGGGATCATCACGTTCCCGGAAGCCTCTCCGGGAACATGATTTCCGGGTTCCCAGGGCGCCCAAGAGGCCCACAAGACAGCCTCAGCGAGGCCCAAGAGGGCCCGAGATGGCTTGAAGATGGCCGAAGAGGGCCCCGAGAGGGCTTTCAAGAGGCAAACATCGGCCCATTCCCTTCGTAAAACGTACGTTTTCAGCATACTCCCTTGCTTCGTCTTCGCAGTGCCCCAGACGCCCCCCAGGAGCCCCAAGACAGCCCAAGAGAGACCCCAGAGGGCCCAAGACGGCCCAAAAGGGTCGTCCTGTGGGGCTGACGGAACCCCCGAAGACAGCCCAAGAGGCCCCAAAGCCGGCCCAGGAGGCCCCCAAGACGGCCTCAGGGAGGCCCAAGAGGGCCTCGTTCGCAATCATGTTCCCGGAAGCCTCTCCGGGAACATGATTTCGGGGTTCCCAGGGCGCCCAACGACAGCCCCCAGAGGCCCCGGACACGCCGAAGATGGCTTCAGGACGGCCGACGACGCCGCCAAAACGCCCCGAAGCCGAACATTATATATTGTCGAATAGTTTTTGAAGCATGTTTGCGCTCTCCCACGTTCCACCTCCCCACGGTCCCGGACCGCGTCAGAGGCCCTTCAGATCGCTCCAAGACGGCCGAAGAGGCTCCCCAAAAAGCCCAGAGACGGCCCAGGAGGCTCCCCAGATAAGTCAAGAGGGCCTCGAGAGCGCCCCAGAAGAGCCCCAAGAGCGACCCGAGAGGGCCCGAAGAGCGCGACATTTCAAGGTCTCCGGCCTGAGGGGTTCCTAGGACGCCCCCGGAGGCCATCAAGAGGCTCCTAAGAAGCTCCGTGAGGCTCCCAAGAGGCCCCCCGGAAGCCCCAATAGGCCCCCGAGGGGCCCCCAGGGAAGCCCCTTGCGGGCCCCCAAGACATTTCGGTAAATCGTATTTCCCAGAGCTTTCCTGGAACATGATTCTTCCGCCCACCGCCCCAACCATGTTTCCAATAGGCTTGCCGACAAGGCCAAAAGGCGCCCCTCGGTAAGCCCCCATAGGCCCCCTCTTAAGAGAGCCGAATAAATATTATGTTCCCGGAGAGCTTCCCGGGAACATGATTCTCTATCTCGGAGTAGGCCCGGGCGGGGTGGGCGGGCCGCTGCCTGTTCCCCCCATCGGTGCCCACCGGGGGTTGCGGGGGGTCCCGAGGCGGCCCGAGCCCGCCCCGAAGCAGGCCACGACAGGCTAAGGGGGTCCCGAGAGGGCCCAAGACGGTCCCACAAGGCCCCGAAGACGCCCAAGATGTCCTCAAGACGGCCGACGAGGACTCCAACACGCTCCACGACGGACTCAAGAGGCTCCCCAAGAAGGCCCTGGAAGGCAAGATTCACTCATTCTCCGAGTGTTTTGGATTTTGGCGTTCTCGCTTTTCCCGCTTTCCAGCGCTCCCTCACGGCCTCGGAGGCCCTTCAGATCGCTCCAAGACGGGCCACGAGGCCCCGACGAGGGCCCCAAGACGGCCTAGGAGGCTCCCCAGACAACCCAACTGTGCCCCAAGAGCTCCCCAAGAGAGGGCCCAGAGGGGGACCGCCAACCGATATTTCGAGGTCTCTGGCCCTACTCCCACGAAGCCCCGTGAGGCGCCTCTTGGAAGCCCCAAGAGACCCCCAAGGGGCTCCCAGGGAACGTCCGAGAGGCCCCCCAACACACCCCAAGAAATCATGTCCCCAGAAAACCTTCCGGGGAAATGGTTCATCATGGGCCCGAGAGTTCCCGAAGGCCCCCAAGGGGCCCCCAGGGAACGCCCAAGAGACCCCCCACCACACCCCAACAAAACCATGTCTCCAGAAAGCCTTTCGGGGACATGGTTCATCATGGGCCCGCGAGTTTCCGGAGGCTTCGAAGTACCATCATGCTACAGGAGAGCTGTCTGGGAAGTGAATTGGGAACATGACTGTTCGCCTTCTCGCGACCCTTCGCAGATCGTTTCGCACAAAGTTGTACCAAGCGCCTTCTTGAACCAACGACGACGACGAAACGACGAATACGACGACGACGACGACGCGCCCTAATAGGCGACGACAACATTACGACGACGATGACGACGACGGGAACCATTTTCCTCGAAGGACTTTCGGAATGCAGATTGGCATGCGTGGACTGTGGTCCACTACTTCAGTGGATCAGTGAATTCGTCAAGGCCTGGGGCCTGCTAGAACCTGAGCGCGCGCGAAGCGCGCGCGATGGTTCATATATATATATATATATATATATATATATATATATATATATACCGGGCTACAGGGCAGGGGGCTCCCTGGCCGGGACCGCAACCCCTCATGGCGGGATCGGGCCTCCGGGAGCGCCCTTGTCCGGCCCAAAAGGCGCCGAAGACGGTCCAAGCGTGCCTCGAGACGCTTACGATCGATCCAAGACGCCCAAGATGGCTCCCAGATGGCCCAAGAGGCCTCCAAGACGTCCCAAGAGAGCCCCAAGAGCATTCCCAAGAGGGCTGCAAGAGGCCGAAATCATTGAATTCCGTTGGTTTTTTGCAGGTTGTTGGTTTTCTTGTTTGTTCGTCGTCTCGACCCTCCAAGACAGCCCACGAAGTCCCCAAGACCGTCCCAAGATCGCCCAAGAGGCCCCCAAGAGCGCCCCAAGACGGCCCAAGAGGGCCTAAAAATAACCCAATAGGCGCCTAAGACCGCCCAAGAGCTTGCGAACACGGCCCAAAAGGCGTCGAATACAGTCAAAGCGTGCCACGACGCGCCTAAGACCGCTCCAAGACGCCCAAGATGGCTTCCAGATGGCCCAAGAGGCCTCCAAGACGTCCCAAGAGAGCTCCAAAAGCATTCCCAAGAGGGCTGCAAGAGGCCGAAATCATTGAATTCCGTTGGTTTGTCGCAGGTGTTTGGTTTTCTTATTTTTTCGTCGTCCCGACCTTCCAAAACAGCCCACGAAGTCCCCAGGACCGCCCCAAGATCGCCCAAGAGGCCCCCAAGAGCGCCCCCCAAACGGCCCAATAGGGCTTAAAAACAACCGAACAGGCGCCTAAGACCGCCCAGGAGCTTGCAAACACGGCCCACGAGGCGTCGAAGACGGTCAAAGCGTGCCTCGACGCGCTTAAGACCGCTCCAAGACGCCCAAGATGGCTCCCAGATGGCCCAAGATGGCCTCCAAGACGTCCCAAGAGAGCCCCAAGAGCATTCCCAAGAGGGCTGCAAGAGGCCGAAATCATTGAACTCCGTTGTTTTTTTTGGCAGGTTTTTTGCTTTCTTGTTTTTTTGTCGTCCCGACCCTCCAAGACAGCCCACGAAGTCCCCAAAACCGTCCCAAGATCGCCCAAAAGGCCCCCAAGAGCGCCCCAAGACGGCCCAAGAGGGCTTAACGACAAACCAATAGGCGCCTAAGACCGCCCAAGAGCTTGCAAACACGGCCCAAGAGGCGTCGAAGACGGTCAAGGCGTGCCTCGACGCGCCTAAGACCGCTCCAAGACGCCCAAGATGGCTTCCAGATGGCCCAAGAGGCCTCCAAGACGTCCCAAGAGAGCTCCAAAAGCATTCCCAAGAGGGCTGCAAGAGGCCGAAATCATTGAATTCCGTTGGTTTGTCGCAGGTGTTTGGTTTTCTTGTTGTTTCGTCGTCCCGACCCTCCAAAACAGCCCACGAAGTCCCCAATACCCCCCCAAGATCGCCCAAGAGGCCCCCAAGAGCGCCCCCAAGACGGCCCAATAGGGCCTAAAAACAACCGAACAGGCGCCTAAGACCGCCCAGGAGCTTGCAAACACGGCCCACGAGGCGTCGAAGACGGTCAAAGCGTGCCTCGACGCGCTTAAGACCGCTCCAAGACGCCCAAGATGGCTCCCAGATGGCCCAAGATGGCCTCCAAGACGTCCCAAGAGAGCCCCAAGAGCATTTCCAAGAGGGCTGCAAGAGGCCGAAATCATTGAACTCCGTGGTTGTTTTTTGGCAGGTTTTTTGCTTTCTTGTTTTTTCGTCGTCCCGACCCTCCAAGACAGCCCACGAAGTCCCCAAGACCGTCCCAAGATCGCCCAAGAGGCCCCCAAGAGCGCCCCAAGACGGCCCAAGAGGGCCTAAAAACAAACCGATAGGCGCCTAAGACCGCCCAAGAGCTTGCAAACACGGCCCAAGAGGCGTCGAAGACGGTCAAGGCGTGCCTCGACGCGCCTAAGACCGCTGCAAGACGCCCAACAGATGGCCCAAGTTGCGTCCAAGACGTCCCAAGACAACCCCAAAAGCATTCCCAAAAGGGACCCAAACAGCCAAACTCACTGCTTGCCTTCAGGCTTTTAAAGGTCGTTGGCTTCCTCAATTTTTCGTCGTCCCGACGCTCCAAGACGGCCCAAGAGGCGCCCAAGACCGTCCCAAGCTGGCCAAGAGGCTCCCAAGAGAGCCCCAAGACGGCCCAAGAGGCCCCAACGACGGCCCAATAGAAACCAAGACAGCCCAAGAGGCTCCAAACATTGCCCCAAGACGCGCCCATGACGGTCCAAGCGTGCCTCGAGACGCCTAAGACCACACCAAGACGCCCACGATCGTTCCCCTTTTCCTCCCCCTCCTTCCTTCTTCGCTCGTCCTCCCTCCTCTCGTCCTCCTCTCCTCTCTCCCCTCTTCCCTCCTTCCCCCTCTCCTCCATCGGACCTTCGCCCCTGCGTGTCCGCCCCGCCCTTCCTCCCGTCGCCGCTTCTCCTCCCCTTCCCCTTCGCCCGCTCGCTCGCTCGGTCGTCTCTCCTTCGCTGCCGGCTCTTGGCTCTCCTCCTGCTCGTCCTCTTCCTCCCTCCCGAGGCCACCCGCTATGAAAAAACGCCCCGGGTCGCAATTGTTATTGTTTTGTGTTGCGTCGATCTTCGCCAATGGCCGACGTGCCGAAGAGGATGATGAGAAACGCGAAGATACGGATGACCAGGACGAAATCCAAAACGGAAAGCCAGGAGGAGGAAAAACAGGGACCGACACACGAGCGAAGATGAGCAACATGACAATACGGAAACACACAATATTCAGACGACTTTTGACAGGACTTGGCCGTGACCTCATCTAGAACCGAAGCGCGCGCGATGGTATATACACACACGTGTACATATACATATCCCCGCGCACGAGGCCTGGGCGCCTGGGGCCCGCGCCTCGAGCGCGCATGGCAGGACCGGGGCCTTTGGAGGCGCTCCGACACGGCCCAAGACAGCCCCGACACGGCATCCGAGGGTCCCAGGAAGCCTCCAAACGGTTCAAGAGGCCCAGAGACCCCGATCGCTCCAAGACGCCGAAGATGGTCGCACGACGGTTCCAAAAAACTTCCAAGACGGCCCAGCAGGCTTCCAAGAGAAATCCCACGAGGGTTCCAAAACGCAAAAATGGCCCCGCTCCCTTTTATGGAAAGCGTGTATTTTTCGGGCATCCGCACCTCGGACTTTCACAGCGCCCACGGCGGTCCCAGAGGCTCCCAAAATCGCCCCAAGACGGCCCAAGAGGGCTCCGAGACAGCCCAAGAGGGCACAGGCACGGCCCACGAGGCCCCCTAGACGGCCCGAGAGGGCCCTAGGACGGCCCCAAGAAGAGGCCCAAAAGGGGTACCCGACCGGCCTTTCGAGCCCTCCTCCCCAGGAGGCTCCCAAGGGAGCCCTAAGGGGCTTCGAAGGAGTCTCCAAGAGCACTCCCAAAAGGGCCCCAAGAAGCCAAAATCACTGATCGTCCAAAGGTTTCTGGTGCATTTTAGCGATTCTGCCTGTTGTGCTTCCCGAGGCCCCAAGACTGTCAGGGATACCCAAATATCGTCCAAACCCCCAAACGGCCCAAGACAGCCCCACACATATGAAAAGGGCCGCAAGAGGCCTCCAAGAGGGCTCGACACGCAGACATCTAGCCCGAACGCGCCCAAGATTGCCTCCAGATGGCCCAGCAGGCTTCCAACACGGCCCAAGGGGTCCCCAAGAGCATTCCCCAAAAAGGGCACCAAGAAACCAGAATCACGGTTGTTTCCCAACCATCCTGTGGTGTTGGGTCTTCGTTTTGAAGAGACGTCGCCCCGCGTTCCTCCTTCCTCCTCCTTCCTCCTCCTCCCCTTCCTCCCCCCTCCTCCCCCTCCCACACCCATTCTGGCACACCCCTCACACGTTTCGCAGCCCCATAGGGAGCTCCACCGAAGGCCCCAGTGGCTGCGCCCGCATGCGTTCCACCCCCCATTCTGGCACACCCCTCACACGTTTCGTGGCCCCATAGGGAGCTCCACCGAAGGCCCCAGTGGCTGCGCCCGCATGCGGTTCCACCCCCCATTTTGGCACACCCCTCACACGTTTCGTGGCCCCATAGGGAGCTCCACCGAAGGCCCCAGTGGCTGCGCCCGCATGCGGTTCCACCCCCCATTCTGGCACACCCCTCACACGTTTCGTGGCCCCATAGGGAGCTCCACCGAAGGCCCCAGTGGCTGCGCCCGCATGCGGTTCCACCCCCCATTCTGGCACACCCCTCACACGTTTCGTGGCCCCATAGGGAGCTCCACCGAAGGCCCCAATGGCTGCGCCCGCATGCGGTTCCACCCCCCATTCTGGCACACCCCTCACACGTTTCGTGGCCCCATAGGGAGCTCCACCGAAGGCCCCAGTGGCTGCGCCCGCATGCGGTTCCACCCCCATTCTGGCACACCCCTCACACGTTTCTTGGCCCCATAGGGAGCTCCACCGAAGGCCCCAGTGGCTGCGCCCGCATGCGGTTCCACCCCCCATTCTGGCACACCCCTCACACGTTTCGTGGCCCCATAGGGAGCTCCACCGAAGGCTCCAGTGGCTGCGCCCGCATGCGGTTCCACCCCCCATGCTGGCATACCCCTCACACGTTTCGTGGCCCCATAGGGAGCTCCACCGAAGGCCCCAGTGGCTGCGCCCGCATGCGGTTCCACCCCCCATTCTGGCACACCCCTCACACGTTTCGTGGCCCCATAGGGGGCTCCACCGAAGGCCCCAGTGGCTGCGCCCGCATGCGTTTCCACCCCCCATTCTGGCACACCCCTCACACATTTCGTGGCCCCATAGGGAGCTCCACCGAAGGCCCCAGTGGCTGCGCCCGCATGCGGTTCCACCCCCCATTCTGGCATACCCCTCACACGTTTCGTGGCCCCATAGGGAGCTCCACCGAAGGCCCCAGTGGCTGCGCCCGCATGCGGTTCCACCTTCCATTCTGGCACACCCCTCACACGCTTCGTGGCCCCATAGGGAGCTCCACCGAAGGCCCCAGTGGCTGCGCCCGCATGCGGTTCCCCCCCTCCATTCTGGCACACCCCTCACACGCTTCGTGGCCCCATAGGGAGCTCCACCGAAGGCCCCAGTGGCTGCGCCCGCATGCGGTTCCACCCCCCATTATGGCACACCCCTCACACGTTTCGTGGCCCCATAGGGAGCTCCACCGAAGGCCCCAGTGGCTGCGCTCGCATGCGGTTCCACCCCCCATTTCGGCACACCCCTCACACGCTTCGTGGGTGGCTCCATGGGGAGCTCCACCGAACGCCCCAGTGGCTGCGCTCGCATGTGGTTCCCCCCCCCATTTCGGCACACCCCTCACACGGTTCGTGGCCCCATAGAGAGCTCCACCGAAGGCCCCAGTGGCTGCGCTCGCATGCGGTTCCACCCCCTTTTTCGGCACGCCTTTCACACGTCTCGTGGCCCCATAGGGAGCTCCACCGAACGCCGCAGTGGCTGCGCTCGCATGCGGTTCCACCCCCCATTTCGGCACACCCCTCACACGCTTCGTGGCTCCATAGGGAGCTCCACCGAAGGCCCCAGTGGCTGCGCTGGCATGCGGTTCCACACCCCATTCTGGCACACCCCTCGCACGTTTCGTGGCCCCATAGGGGGCTCCACCAAAGGTCCCAGTGGCACTGCCCGCTTGCGTCCGCCACCACCCAGCACAGCCCTTGTTCCCTGCGCTTCACCCACCCAGAACAGCGCTTCGTAGCCCTATAGGGAGCTCCACCAAAGGTCCCAGCGGCACCGCCCGCATGCGTCCGCCACCACCCTGCACAGCCCTTGCTCCCTGCCTGCGTTTCACCCACCCAGTACAGCGTTTCGTGGCCCCATAGGGAGCTCCACCGAAGGTCCCAGTGGCACCGCTCGCATGCGTCCGCCACCACGCAGCACAGCCCTTGCTGACCGCGTCTCACCCACCCAGTACAGCGTTTCGTGGCCCCATAGGGAGCTCCACCGAAGGTCCCAGTGGCACCGCCCGCATGCGTCCGCCACCACCCAGCACAATTGCGGCATTCACGACTGCATATGGTTGGGTCCTTCGCCAGGCTAATTTTGTTTTTTAAGGTTTCTGGCACATTTTAGCGATTCTGCCTGTTCCGTTTCCCGACGCCCCAAGGCGGTCAGGGATACCCACATATCATCCCAACAGGCTCCCACGAGGGCGCCGGGACGGCCTAGGGCCGCCCCCAGACGGCTCAAGACAGCCCGAACACACACGAAAAGGGACGCAAGAGGCCTCCAAGAGGGCTCGAAACGCGGGCAGATCGCTCGAACACGCCCAAGATGGCCTCCAGATGGCCCAAAAGGCTTCCAACTCGGCCCAAGTGGTCTCCAAGAGCATTCCTCCAAGGGCCCCAAGAAGCCAATATCATTGACGCTCATGAGGTTTATGATGGATTTCAACAATTCTGCCTGTTCAGCGCCCCGACGATCCAAGACGGTCCCAGACACCCAAATATCGCTTCAACTGCCCCCCACGAGGGCGCTGAGACGGCCCAGGGACGCCCCCAGACGGCCCAAGGCAACGCCGACACACATGAAAAGGGCCGCGAGAGGCCCCCAAGAGGGCTCGAAACCGCAGGAACATGTGCTTGCACACCGATTTGCGATTGATTATTCCCGTGAGAAGACATCTCGCGACAAATGCGACGTCGTCTCACTTGGCTGATCGTGCCGAAGCATGTTGCCAGCCATTCTGGTAATTAGGTGCCTTCGCAGTTTGTAACCGAGGTACCAACTCAGAACTGTGGGCCTGCGAGTCGTCCCATGCTCTTCTTTAGTTGATCCCTACTTGTTTGTTAGTTTGTGTTTACTCAGTTCCCGCACCAGTGCGTCATCTTTCCCCGGTTGGGCGTCTTTCTTTCCATCCTTGGACGCATGGGTCATTTGCCAACATATTGAATTGTTGCGCACGTGTAGGCTTTGTACAGCGTGTCAAAGCACATCTGCCTGCACACCGCGATACCCGTGAATATGTTGATGTCGTCGAGAAGTATCTCGCGACAAGTGCGACGTCGTCTCACGTGGCTGATCGTGCCGAAGCATGTTGCCAGCCATTCTGGTAATTAGGTGCCTTCGCAGTTTGTAACCGAGGTACCAACTCAGAACTGTGGGCCTGCGAGTCGTCCCATGCTCTTCTTTAGTTGATCCCTACTTGTTTGTTAGTTTGTGTTTACTCAGTTCCCGCACCAGTGCGTCATCTTTCCCCGGTTGGGCGTCTTTCTTTCCATCCTTGGACGCATGGGTCATTTGCCAACATATTGAATTCTAGACGCTTCGCGTATCCCCACCAGCCCGTCCAGAAATGAGCCCCAGAGGAGTGGAGGTGATGAGGGAAGCGGGGGAGCATGCAGAAGAACAAAGAGCGGGTTAAGCCGCCATACGTTCCAAGAGGGGGAGGATGTAGGAGGAGTCGTCGTCGTCGGAGTAGGAGGAGGAAGACGTGGAGCAGGAGGAGGAGCAGGAGGAGGAGGGGGAGGAGGAAGAGGAGGAGGAGGAGGAGGAAGATGAGGAGGAGGAGATGGAGGAGGGCGAGGACGAGGAGGACGAGAAGGAGGAGGAGGAGGAGGAGAAGGAGGAGGAGGAGGGGGAGGGGGAGGAGGGAGGAGGGAGAAAAAGAGGAGGAGGAGGAGGACAATGGCGAGCTTGGGGGCCTCTTGGGCCGTCTTTGGGGCCTCTTGGCGGTCCCGGGGGCCTCTTGCGTATCTCGGGGAGCTTCTTGTGTCCTTTTGGGAGTCTCTTGGAGGCCTCTTGGAGGCCTCTTGGGGGCCTCTTGGGGCCTCTTGGGGCCCTCTTGGGGCGCTCTTGGGGCGCTCTTGGGAGCCTTCGGGGCGCTCTTGGGGCCATCTTGGAGGAGATCTATCAAGAAGGGGGGGTTGCTTATTAGCGTTGCCCCTCTAGAGTGCCTCGAATCGCCTCTTGGGCCTTCCTAGAGGCCAAAATCCGTCCAAAACCTAAGGAAAATCAATGTTTTTTGCTTTCTCGCCTTTTCGCTCTTGGAGCCGTCTTGGGCCATCTTGGGAGCATCTTGGGGCCTCTTGGGGGTCTCTTGGGAGCCTCTTGGGGGCATCTTGGGGGCCTCTTGGGGCCTCTTGGGGCCCTCTTGGGGCGCTCTTGGGGCGCTCTTGGGGCGCTCTTGGGAGCCTTCGGGGCGCTCTTGGGGCCATCTTGGAGGAGATCGATCAAAGAAGGGAGGGTCGTATATTAGCGCTGCCCCTCTAGAGTGCCTCGAGTCGCCTCTTGGGCCCCCCAAGAGGCCAAAATCCTTCCAAAACCTAAGGAAAATCAATGTTTTTTGCTTTCTCGCCTTTTCGCTCTTGGAGCCGTCTTGGGCCATCTTGGACTCTCTTGGGGCCTCTTGGGGGTCTCTTGGCAGCCTCTTAGAGGCTTCTTGGGGGCCTCTTGGGGTCTCTGGGGGCGCTCTTGGGGCGCTCTTGGGAGCCTTCGGGGCGCACTTGGGGCCATCTTGGAGGAGATCTATCAAAGAAGGGGGGAGCTCCAATTAGGGTTGCCCCTCTAGAGTGGCTCGAAGCGCCTCTTGGGCCCCCCCAAGAGGCCAAAATCCTTCCAAAACCTAGGTAAAATCAATGTTTTTTGCTTTCTCGCTTTTTCGCTCTTGGAGCCGTCTTGAGCCATCTTGGACGTCCCTGACACCTCGCGAGACGCCTCGTCCAGGTCAGTGGGGAGGGGTAAGGGGAGGGGTAAACCCCTCCCCGAAGGGGAAGAAGGGGGTTGGCAGAGGAAACTCTCTAGACCACCTACGCCCTAAAGGGCTGGTGGGATTGTTGCGCACGTGTAGGCTTTGTACAGCGTGTCAAAGCACATCTGCCTGCACACCGCGATACCCGTGAATATGTTGATGTCGTCGAGAAGTATCTCGCGACAAGTGCGACGTCGTCTCACGTGGTTGATCGTGCCGAAGCATGCTGCCATCCAATCAGGTGGGTGCCCTCGCAGCTGCTGGTCTTGAGCTACAGGCGTGCTGAATCCCCCCAAAAAAAGAGGGCTCGAAACGCAGACATCTAGCTCGAACTCGACAAGATGGCCTCCAGATGGCCTAGAAGGCTTCCAACACGGCCCAAGGAGTTTCCGATAGCACTCTTCCAAGGGCCGAAGCCCACATCACTTATTGTCCTGAAGTTTTTGGTGGATTCCAATTATTCTGCCTGTTCAGCGTCCGGACGCTCCAGGACGGTCCCGGACATTTAAATATCGCGCAAACATGCCCTCACGAGGGCGTTGGGACGGCCCGGGGCTGCCCCCAGACGGCCCAAGACAGGGCCCCAAGAGGCTGCCAAAATAATTAGAGTCGCGGAAATATCGTTCTATCAAGCCGAAGGTGGCCTCCAGATGGCCCAAAGTTCCCAACACGGTCCAAGGGGTCCCCAAGAGCATTCCCCAAAAAGGGCACCAAGAAGCCAGAATCATTGCTTCTCCAACGGTTACTGGCACATTTTAGCGATTCTGCCTGTTCCGCTTCCCGACGCCCCAAGACGGTCAGGGATACCCACATATCGTCCTAACAGGCTCCCACGAGGGTGCCGAGACGGCCTAGGGCCGCCCCCAGACGGCCCAAGCTAGCTCAACACACACGAAAAGGGCCGCAAGAGGCCTCCAAGAGGGCTCGATACGCGGGCAGATCGCTCGAACACGCCTCCAGATGGCCCGAAAGGCTTCCAACTCGGCCCAAGTGGTCTCCAAGAGCATTCCTCCAAGGGCCCCAAGAAGTGACGTTCATGAGGTTTATGATGGATTTCAGCAATTCTGCCTGTTCAGCGCCCCGATGCTCCAAGACCGTCCCAGACACCCAAATATCGCTTCAACTGCCCCCCAGGAGGGCGCCGAGACGGCCCAGGGACGCCCTGCCGAGGGCATGAGGCGGGGCCCGGGTCGGGGCCCTGGGACTGGGGGCCTCGGGGGCCTTGCCGCGGCGCCGAGGGCTCTTTAAAATCGTCTGGGGACGACCCCAGATCGCTAGAAATGGCGCTTCCAGACTGCGAAAACGACCAATAACGGCCCGAGATCATTCCAGAATTAGCTCCTGACTGCCTAAGAGGCCTCCAAGACACCCCAAGAGGTTTCCAAAATGCC